ATCCGTGTCCAGTTTGTCTAATTCTCTGCTACATTTCAAAAGAAAATTTTAAATTACACACATCTCTATTTAGCCTAACGAATGACTGTTATCTCTACAGCACGATAACAAAGAAGGGAGTTTTTGGTTTTATGAAATTTGAATAAATTCCTCTAGCTGATAAGTGTAGTTTGGCGTTGGTAGTACCTCCAAAAGAAGGATAGGATTTGGGTTGTATGGATGAACTCTTTATATGCTACCTAGTTTGGTAAGTTAGCATAGTTAACTTACACTGGAGGAATTTATATTTCTGTTATTTGAAGATGTCGTGAGACAAATCTCGTTCTTAGTTGGAAAAAGAGACATTTCATGGTTCAAGAGGGGATTGTTTTGGGCCATGTCATATCTAAAAGGGGTATTGAAGTTGATAAAGCGAAGGTTGAACTTATATCCGAATTGTCTCCACCTTCTATGGTGAGATAGATCCTTTCCTTTCTAGGTCATGCCGGCTTCTATCACTATTTCATCAAAGATTTTAGTAAAATTACTAGACCCTTATGCAATCTTCTTACCAATGAGACATCATTTGTCTTTGATCAAACATGTCTAGACGTTTTTCATAACATATTAAAGGGAACAGAGTTGAAGAAACTTTTACTACTAAAGCATATGATGAAATGGTTAAAGAATTGTGTGCAAAACTTGAAGTGGATTTTACCAAAGATAGGATCAAGAATCGATTGAAGACTATAAAGACTCATTTCAATGAGTGGTATGACTTGTTTAAGAATGGATTGAGCAGATTTTCTTAGAGTCACGAGACAAAGATGTGGAGTGCGGAGCCAGAGGTTTGGAATTCATTAATTGAGGTACTGTTTTTTTATTAATTTTGAGTTATTTTTACTATTAAAGTATGTTTAAAGCCTAATTCATAAGGGCACTCTTGAAATGTTCTTCTTTGTTGTTCTAATGTCGTTGTTTTGCCCAAATTCATGTGGTTATGTGTTAATAATACTGAAAAATGTATGTAATTCTTCTTTATTGGTAATGCAGTACTTAACTAGCTAGCTTTGTTAAAAGCTCCAATTTTTCCTTTCATTCCATCACAGTCGCTTTCTACCTCCCTGGACTTATCTGGACTTCACATGGTGGCATCATTTTTTGCTCCTATATTCTTTAATTACTAATACTAGGGTTTCTCTATTTTGTTCAGTTTATACTTTCATTAGTTTATACCATGTTCCTTGACAGCTACTTGTGTAATTAGTTAGAAAGTGACAAATCATGAGTTGGGCATTCTGTATAAAATTCTGATCTATGATAGTTTTCATTGCTCTTCTTATTTTCATTTCTTCTTTCATCTTCCTTCAATTTTGATGTTGGCACAGATGGTTATCTATGTGGCTAAGTGAATTAGTACTTGTGTCAATAAACTGTTCATAAAATAAAAAAAAATAAAAAAATGTTTTAAAATTTCTCTAGTTCTTGCTTGGAAACCAATTTTTTTGCCAAGGGCTGTAGTACTTCAAACACTACGAAATTTTTAGCATATGTTCCTCTCTGTGTCTAAAGTCTCTTGGTAAAATTTTATAATTTTTGAGTTGGTAGATATTTTTTAAAAAAATCTTAGATTATCTATTATTTGGTTTCTAGTCACAGTTTGGAAACTAAATTTGAGACATGAATTTGACGGACTTTCCGACATCGATAAATTACAAAACTTTCCAATTTTATTAGTTCATGTGTCTAGTTTTTAAATATCAAGGCCCCAAAATTTTATCGGCTTCCTAAAAGACTAAGCAGGCCAAAGTTTGACACTTGGTTAAATTTCAGCACAAGCTTTAAGAGCCTTCTCTTCCTTCCAAAAACTGTTTTCATTGGTGTTTTTCCAGCATCCGAATGTGGCTCACTCACATTTTACTCTAAGTCTAGTTTCTAAGTAATTTTAGTTTGCCTCATTTCGATTAAAAAAAAAAAGAATTTTCTTAAGCTAAACACTACTATTCCATTTTTCGTTTTAATCTTATAAATTGCGCCCTATAGTTTTGGGGCATGACATACCTTAGGCCAAATGAGGGCATATATCCTTGAAATAATTTTTTTACAAAAAAAATTATAACACATGGCGTAGGTTAAATTATTTCTAATTCCAATATTATGAATTTATGGCTAAAGTGCAACTCGACCTTAAAAAGTGAGGCTTGATAATGGTATATTTCTATTTGCAACCTTTACCTATTAGTAACTATGATAAACTATATTTTTTTAAATATTTTTTTTTATATTCTTGTAATAGGCAAAACCGTAAGTGGAAAAATGGAGAATTACACTTATTAACAACTATGATAAGTTGCTAGAGTTGTTTGCAAAAGATAGAGCAATTGGTGATGAGGCTGCAACTGCTAAGGAGACACGTTTTCAATGGGCTAGCTCAACCAATAACAAGTTAATAGGAAGCATTGATGGTATTGAACAGCTAGTCGCAGAAAATGAGGTGACTTTGGAGAATGCTGAGCATGTGGCTGATGAGACTGAAAGGACAATGTCCCCTAAGGCACATTCTAATGCATCTTCAAGTGCAAAAGGAAAGAGGAAATGAACTTCATGTAGTGTCTATAATAATACCCAATAAATAGTAAAGGCAATTTCCTCTGTTGCAGAATCTATTAAAGAGGGAAATGCTCTTTATGGAAAATATAATCATAAGGTGCATTCGAAGGAGAAAATCTATAATGAGCTGGAATCAATTGGACTTGAGCCATTTTTAATTGATGATGCTTTCTTTTATCTCGCTAACCATCCTAATCAAACGAGGCAATTCCTTAGTGTTCCAGTTGCAAGGCGTAAGAATATTTTGGAGAAAATGATGTATGGTTCAACATGATGCTGATTGATGATGGGTAAGATGTATGGTTCAAAATAATGCTGATTGATGATGGGTAGTTTTTCTTTTTGTTGGGTATAGGTTATTTTTTTGAGAAACACTTATGATAATTTACCCTGGGAATGCTATGAATTCTTTTTTTTTTTTTTTTTTATGAAACTTTGTGATGCTATATTATGGAAAAATTATGTATTGGGAACCCTTTTAGAGTGATTTAAATCTGGGAACTTGACTATGATGTAATTATTATTGTCTACTCTTTTGGTTATGAAATTTTATAATTATTATACTTTTGGTCTCTTGGTTTTATTTAGTAAGTGATGTTTGTGTTTATTGGGGTTTCTTTTGTTGGTTCCGTATCAGTTTTTTTCCATTGAAATTGGGGTTGTGTTAGTGGACTATCAAACCAGAGCGAAATAAGAAACTATGCTTTGAATTACAGCATGTGCCTTGGAGAATATTATATTGGAATATTTAATGCACTGGATAATCAAGGCAGGGCCCTTGGAGTTAAGTTGTTTTACTCAAACAACTTATGCCACATTTGATGTGCAAGCCTTGAAACACATATCATGCACTTTCTAAGACTATATGAAAATTTGGGGAAATATTGTTTCAATTTTAGTTTGTGCAAAAATCCTTCTTTGCTGATAAATTAAAAAAATTCTGACTAAATGTATCCTATTTTTTTTCTTTTGTTTGTTTGTTTTTTGGTTTATTTCCTTCCCAATAATTAGATTGTCCTGACTGCCTAGCTTGTGGGAATTTTGGGTTTGAATGCATCTATACAGGATAAAAGTTGTAACACTAAGAGTTGTACAGACCACACTCACTCTACAATCACATAATTTTTCCTGTTTTATATATGCACATGTTTTTTTAAGACATGTTGAGGGGTTTTACTGATAAAACACGAACAGAGATGGTGAAAAAGTGTAGCCATTTCTAATAGAAATTCAAAATAAAATTCAAAGTGCAGAACTTATGAAGGTTTGTACTTTGGAGCAACAGAGTGCCCCACCTTGATTAATTTTGAAATGTAGAGATATATGCTATCATTGTAGTTTTATTTTGTTGACTCTGATCAAATTGAAATGCAACGATTCTAAATACTGCTTTGATTGGTTAGCCTAATTCTTATTCCTTTGATTTTTGGTTGGAGGGCTACTGTAATTCCAAGAGCAAAGGGAGGTGCACACCTTCAAATGAAATTGGTTTACAATCACTTGGCGCCCCTCTTCTTGTTTTTGATCCAATAGATGGATTGCTCCTATACTTGATTAATTTTGAAATGTAGAGATATATGCTATCATTGTAGTTTTATTTTGTTGACTCTGATCAAATTGAAATGCAACGATTCTAAATACTGCTTTGATTGGTTAGCCTAATTCTTATTCCTTTTATTTTTGGTTGGAGGGCTACTGTAATTCCAAGAGCAAAGGGAGGTGCACACCTTCAAATGAAATTGGTTTACAATCACTTGGCGCCCCTCTTCTTGTTTTTGATCCAATAGATGGATTGCTCCTATACTTGTCTGCTCCCCAGATATCTAAACTTTTTCCACATACTTCTGTATAAGCTTGGGTTCCTATGGTTTCCGTGCCTATCCCTTTTTTTATTATAAAATAAAATAAATATATATAAATTGAACTTGAGTTCTAAATACTTCTTTAGAATAATAGTGGAAAAGGATATTCCTTCAATAAATGGCTTCTTTTATTGATAAGTTATTAGAATATCATTTACTAAATAATTGTTAAAACTTAAAAATAATTGTTAAATAAAATTTGGGAATGTTTCCTTCTCAATTACCCTAAACCCTGAGTAATGAAACCACATGTCCCTAAGTTTAGTGAAAACTTTGTTTCCTACGTTCTTTTTACAAGGGTTCACGATGGATGGAAGACAAACATATCTACAAATGGAAGAAGGCAACTATTGGAATATAAAATGGTATAATAATAAATTTATTAAAATATATATATATATATATATATATATTTTTTACCAAACATGGGTTAAAATTATCCTTCCCTTTCCTTTCCTTTCCCTCTTAACTAATATTATCCTTGGCTTCCCTTCCCACCATACCAAACATACCCTTAGAATTTGGCCCCCATCCCATCGTTTCAAATTAGGGCGACCCGCTATAATAATTTCGCACAAATGGGAGTGGGCGAACTTCACGAATTCCAAAGTACTTCGTGATATAAATATCAACCAAACCCCAGTTCTTTGTTGCGTTTTCTAAAACCCCAGTTTCAAAAGTGTAAGCCCTGGCAGGCGCCATGAATTTTTTAAGGAGGGCAATCGCAGGAGGACTTGTATCTTCGTCTTCTTCTTCACCAAGGAAATGTCTACTGTTATCAATTCATCGCGTTCGTACTCTGCAACACTATTCCTACTCCTCAACGACACATTACGAACAGAAGACACAAACCGCCTTGAATCCCAAAGCCGAACCACATCAATCATCATCCTCACCATCATGGTTGAGTGGTTCTGAAATGGTTCAAAAGAAAGCGAAGGATTGGCCAAGGCCCAAAGAGATTCCGTTTCAGGCAAAGGTTGCGAATTCGGTGAGTCTGATCGGCCGTGTTCACATTCCTGTTCAGTTTCAAGTTTCCCCCGACGGCCAGTACTGGGCTGGCACCATAATCACCCAACAGGACTACGACGACAAGGGCGACAATGCTTCTGATTATCCATCTTTTTGGTACTCAATTGTCTCCACCATTCTCTAAGTTTTTGTGTTTTCTTTGTTTGTTACTTTTTACTTTCAGTTTATTTTTCTAGTTTGCTGTAGTTCATGTATATTTAATTTTTGTTAATTCACATTTATAACATATCAATGTATAGTGGGTTGTTATTTAGTTGCAGTGTGTGAATTGTTTCTGTCTCTTGGTACTTCGTGGTCAGAGGACCATATATGATTCAAATTGATGGTGCATTTTATGTTGCTGGAAAGTTGTGGCTTTTTTTGTTGGGCCAACTAATTAACGAGGTCCTGCATTAACTAGGTTCCCCTTACAATTTAATTAATACTAGCTTAGAATAATCAATAAAAAAATGACATCTCATTTGGTAATTGGCTTGAGTTTGAAATGACAAACTAGGCTGTGGCAAAAGAATTTGTTCTTCTTATAAAAACACATAAGTTAATTTTCTAGTTTCTATAAAATATATACATACATATATATATATATATATATATATATATATATATATTTTTTTTCTTTTTTTCTTTTTGTAAGCTCACTGTAATTAAAACTCCTAGGTCACACTCAAAATGCTGAATTTGGTACTAGTTTATTTGAATTTTCATGTCATACTAACTTTTGTCGATTTAATTGCTTCATTCTTTTCACAAATCAGGATTCCGTTAATATTTGAAGGTGATCTAGCGCATATTGCTTATTATCATCTGAAGAAAGAAGATTATGTTCACATTACTGGACAACTAAGTGCAGATCAACCACAGATCACTATAAGTGAAATTCAAGCACATTCCCAAAGCCGAGCACATGCCCAGGTAATGTACGGGAACATAGAATGTTTGTAAATTTGAAGTTTATAAAAAATGTGGAGATAATTGATTTTTCACCTTACAAAATAATAAACAGCTTAATTTGAATGTGATATTTTTACCGTCAAGAATGTATTAAATTATTTTTAAAACTAAATAACGTCTCTCTCTCTTTGTCTGCAACTTCTTGTTGCAGTGACCACCATCAATCTATGCAAACCCATGGAACTCTCTTTTATCTTTTGGTAAATCAAAACCAGGAAACTCTCAACAGTTCTCTCTTGAGTTTCTCTCTCTTTTGAAGAAAGCCCTTAAACCTCAAATATACCCTATTTTTCTCTCGTTGGAAGAATCTTGTCACCTGATTGATTCTTCTTGCTGGTACCGAAGTCCAGCGAGTCTTTCTTGGTGATTTTTCGGTGGTAGAGGGGAGACTAAACCCCTTTCTTGGCACCTGGAAAACAGAGTAGGTTGGGTCCTTGACACATATTCGCTATATGTGTGTGTGTGTGTGTGTTAGTATATATATGAACACGGCTTGTGAATGTCTGTGTATCGGTGAGTTTAGTCTTCTCTCTAAGAGGTCTGTTTTGACATAACATATCAATTTATTTGATTAGTGTTCTGATTGTTGGAAAGATGATTTGGAAGGGTTTTAAGTGGAATATTTGTGGGTGAATTCTATCATATTGTAGTAACAAAATATGTGCACACATATATGTGTGTGCACATATACTTTGATGCTAGGAAGAAGAATAAGTTAGAGGAGGGAGATTAAGATGAATGGCTTGCAAAATCGACATTGTTGTCAATTTATTTTAGGCAATTTGGGGGGATTCAAGTCATTTCATATGACATAAATAGGATAAAAATATCTTTTCATTGATTTCAAGGGCAAAACTGGCTTTCTGCAGGGCAGGTAAGTATAGTTATCCCATAAATTAATCAAGAGACAAATCATTGTGAACTGGTGCTTACTGTGGAAGGGGAATGGAGAGTCTGAATCATTTATTGATTCATTGTACTAAAGATATGTGGGCTCTGTTGGTCTCTCTTTTTAGCATTTAGTGTGTATTTCCTCATTGTATGATAAGTTTTTATGTTGGCGGATTGAGAAGTATGGATCTAAAGTGGTGTAGGTAACTCTATTTTGTATCTTGTGATATATTTGGAAAGAAGGAATTAGGCTGCTCTTATTGAGTAGAAGAGTCAACATTGTGTTGATTTATTTGCTTTTTTTGTGCAATTTGAAAATCTGTTGTTTTAGGTGATATCTTTGTAGAATTTTTGGAGATACAAAGGTATACAGTTTTATTATTATTATTTTTGGTTTACATCGCAGTACATGGCTGCATCCACGTTGGCGCCTTCTAGTGAAATTTTATGTAAGAAAAAAAAATGTGTGAAAAAGCTTGGAGAAATCAATTTTACTCTTTACTAGTTGACATAAAGTTGTCTAAATTGTAATGGTCAAATGAGTTAAATTGGATGAGTGTGGGGTTCTTGAGCTGTGCACGTGAGAGGAAACGTCTGTGCGGTAGCGTGGTAGCCACTTGTAGACGGGATCCTACATTGCGTTGGGAAGGTAGACTGAGATTATAAGGTAGAATTGCTCACCATATGTCAACAATGCATTTTAAAGCTGTGAGGAGGAGCCCATAGTGGACAATGTTGTTGACTATGGTGGTGGGGTTTGACACTATTTTCATATTATTTTGTTAGTTTTGTAACGAATGTAGAATTATAGAATTTTGTCGTTGTTTCTCTGCACTTTTGCAAAAATAAAGATAAAATCTGCAAATACCTAAACTAAAAATTGTATAGCAATAAGCAAGGTCGAACCACACATTCAAGATTAGATTTCCTTAACTCAAATTCAAAACCAGAATTTATGGGATGAAAAAAAAAAAAAAAAAAACTTTTAAAACTATTTGCTGATTTTTGATTTATTAAATAACTAATTAAATTAAAGGGGAAAATGTCATGGAAGAAGAAGTCACCACCATGGATCAATATAAATAAATAGTATATTTTTTCTTATATAAATTTTCCTCTAATAAATAAATCACTCCACCAGTCCAAGTAGATCTTGAAAAGATGAAGGAGAATATGGCATAAAATATATTGGATATTTCTTGAGAGACCTTCTTCTAAAATTTCTACGACTACCTCTTGATAAAGAATAAATAGTGGCAGGCATTCACCGTGTTATCATTAATTGGCAATCACGAAGAATTCTTCCTTTATTTCTCAAGTAAAATTTATTGTAAACAGTGATAGGCATTCCCCGTATTTCCACTGCACTATTTGGAAATCGTGAAAAATCCTTCCTTTAATTTTCTAGCCTCCAACCTTCATTGTGAGGTTTTTGTTATTGAGATTCATAAAAGAATACTCTCCGGAGGAATTATTATACAAGAAATAAAAGACACAAAACTAAAACATCAATTGAATGAGAAGAAATACAAAAATATATACAAGGGGAGCAAGCTCTGTTTCGCTCACTCACTTTTTTCTCTAACTCTGTTTAACCCCCTACCTCCCTACATATGTCCATATTTATAGAGTTTAGAAGGGAGGAATTAGGAAGGGAAAAAGAAAGCAATTCGAAAATCAAAATACAGGAGGGAAAATAAAAAAAATAAAATTTTCCTAAAATCTTGTTGCTTTCCAATTTGAATTGATATTTTCTGATTTGATGAAGCGCCAATTTTGAATTTGAATGGCCATGTATAAAAAATAGAGCAATTGTGCTGCGACCAAGTCTTGAACTTGAGACCTCTTGTGAAGTAGGTTATGCATTAGACCATCTCTCTTACTATGCTTCTGGCGCTCTTCTTCAGTTATAAATAATTCCCATCCTTTATGCAACCATAAATTCTCACATTTTTGCTTCTTTTTTTCTCGTTTTGGAATTTATATCTATAAAACATAAAACCTATATATAATAATATTTAAATTATTTAAAATACTAATAAAATAATGGGTTTTGTGCACCTATCATTTTGCTAATTTTAATTTAGAAGAATTAAAATAAATTGAGGGCAAAATGGTAAAAAGATGTGCAATTTAGTGACATTAGGGTTGCTAGACTGTCAAAGAAGTCGTTGTTATCATCATCATCACTTTTATCCCATATGGATTGGGTTGGCCACGTGAACTCTTTTTTTTCATTCTTTCCTATTATACACCATATTTTCTCTTAAATTGAAACTTTTTAAGTCGTTTTTAATTACTTCCTCCCACGTAAGCTTTGGTCGGCCTCTTTGTTACTTACCTTTTAATCTAACAACTCTTCCTCTTTTAATAGGTTCGTCTTTGGGTCTATGTTGAATATGATCTACTTTCCCTAATTTTATCATTTATATAGGTGCCATACCTAATGTTCCCTTCACATGTTTATTATTTATCTTATCTCTTCTAGTAATCCTTATTATCCAACGTAGCATCCTTATTTTTGCCACATGAATGTTGTAATTTTGTCTTTTTTAGTGCCCAGCACTCCGCTTAGGCACAGAGCCATGAAGGGTTGAGTGGGGGGTGAGCTTCCCCATTGATTTTTTTTCCTATTTAAATCATATTCCTAAAATTTTGTCAAAATTCTAATAATGCCCCCACTAATTTTTTTTGACAAAACCCTTTATACATGTCCCCAAAATCCACCACAATCATCTCCCTCTTTTAATTTCACAAAATCAACTTTTGAAGCTTTCACTAAACCCACAAATCTCTCTCTCTCTCTCTCTGTAACATTTTCTGTCGGAAAATTTATTTCATTCTGTATATATCGCATAGATTGTACAAACGGTTTTTAAAATAAAAAATTTAGTGAGTGATGAAGAATTTTCTCTCTTTCTCCTTGTTCTTCTCTTTCCTCTCTTTTATAGTTTTGTGCAACTTCGAATGCTAGATTTCTATCGATTCACGCTTAGTTTTAAAATATCTATTAAGTTAAAGTTCTTTTGTTTATTACGATAATACATACATATACATATACATATACATATATATATATATATATATATATATATATATATATATATTTCATATTATCACTTTTTAAGGCGGCCCCCTCTCGAATCATTTTCTAGCTCCATCGCTGACTCTGCTCCATACAGTATTGCCAGACAGCCAAAGTGATTTTTACGAAGTTTGATCCATGGGAAGGGCAAGCCTCAAGGGAGCACCGAGTAATTTACCCAAAGAAGTTCTATAAACAAATAGTAATTTTATTAAGGCAAAAACTGTGGATGATTGTTCTTAACATTGTTATTTAAGTTTCCGTTTTTCCAGTCATCTGAAAAGGGTAAAAACGAAAAGGAAAAACTGTTGCTTGGCATCCCCCCTCCCTCTCTCTCTCCCCGTGATATTACTGTTATTAATATATTCCCGATTTCCAACATATGACCGTGCAGGTTATGGTGCGTAGCGTGGACTTTGTGGAACACTCATCTAAGCTGAAGAAATCCTCTGCATCATGCCAGAAAGAAGAAAAGACTATCAGTTCTGGTAAGCGATTCTATGAGATTATCAAACTTTTTTTTTTTCCTCTTTGCAGCCTTGTGAAAAATCATAAAGTTCAGCTTAGTTGGAAGGTAACCTATGGAAGCCTTAGAACTTTTGTCCATCCCCGAAGTTTTCGTAGTAAGATTACAGGATTCATTCATTTAAAACTACAAGAGCAGTGAAATATATAGCACATCCGAGAGTTGTTGTAGACAATTTCAATGTATGAAACAAATGCTAGCGCACTATGGAATAAAACAAGAAATAATGTCTATCTTTTGTGATAACAGTCGTGCAACTAATATTTCCATGAGCCTGGTGTTATACTCTAGAACTAAATATATATGTATTAGACATTATTTTATATGTTTACTAGTGGAGCATAATTTTATTAATCTTGAAAAAACTACACACTGACAATCAATTTGTGGATATCTTAAGTAAATCATTAGACCAAACTAGGTTTGAATACCTTAGGAAGACTATTGGGTAACTTGGGATAAATGATTTCTTCTTCTTCTTTTTTTTTTCCCCCTTTTCTTGCGTGTGTGTGTTTGTTTATATATATCATAATCATCCTTGCCTTAATCCCATATGAAAGGGGTCGGCAAATATTGTTAGCCAATGCACAAGGCTCTCGTCATTGCGGGTGTTTAAGCAGGGTCAGATGTACGCAACCTTACCTTCTTGTAGAGAGGCTTTTTCCTTTGTTTATAACTTTATATATATAGTAGTATAGATTATATGTTTTGTTTTTGTTCCATGCACAAATGGGTCTTTTGAGTTGTTGAATTACACGTTGAAATTGAATCTACAATACAAAATACACATTTAATTTGAAAAAAATTGTTGAAATTATCTTTTGAAGTTAAGTTGATACTTAGTTGATTTACTTCTCTTCTATTACCATTTTGATTTAGTGGAGTTTTAGTTGTTTATGCACCTGATCACAGTGAAATACAACTATTTTTATTTATTTTAAGACATTTGGTTGGTACCTTGGTAATTGTGGAAGTTAAGATGGAATATGTATGACATGACCAGGAAAAAATAAAAAATATGCGGGCCTGTATGGCGTTGCTGTTGTAATGAAAAAACTAAACAAAACGTTTATATTAATACAATTGTCATTAAATTTCTTTTAGTAAAAGCATGTTAAGTGTTTGGTGATTCTACAAAAAGTAGTTTCACAATTAAATTACTTTTTAATTTGTTTGTTGACAATATTGTTAAAGCAATTCTATTATTAATTATATAGTAATGCTCTTTGATGGAATGCTTTTTTTTTATTATTTTTATTATATATATATATATATATATATATATATATATATATATTGATAATAGCAGGACTTTTTTTTTTGATAAGTAAGATAATAGCAGGACTTTATAAAAAATGAAATAAAATTGTCTTTATAAAAAATAAAAGGGATGAAATTGTCTAATAAAAAAAGGTTACCTAAAATATCGACCCTATACTCAAAATGCAGTTTTAAAATATCTAAATTTTAGCTTCATTCAAAAGGTATAGTGAGCTATAATTATTTTATGATTTAAAAATGCTTTTTTGGTTATCAAACACATTTAGGGCCTGTTTACAAAAACAAAGCTTTAAAATACAAGCACTTTTAAATGGTTCCACAACAATCTCGTACGGGCTATATATATATATATATAGCATTAGCGGGACAAATAGTGTTTATGCATGGCCAATTTTGAAATGGGCTATCTATGGGATTTATCTGAAGCTACCAAAACAGGAGGAAAGTAAAAAAGGTATCAAAAGTTAATAATATTGTCTTAGGAAAGAGCTGACTTCCTATTAGCATAAAGCCATCAAAGTTTGACAAATTTATTAGAGAGAAATTCAAAGGAGTTGGTCAAAGATCTTACTCGTGTCCTCTGATTTGTTCCTGTTTAGGGTTTTTTACTTGAAAATCTGGTGTGTACTCTATTTATTTTATGTTCTATGTGTTTGTGTGCATATATTGATCTATGAAATCAAACTACTGCTACAACAACAACCAAGGCTTTTTCCCAACTACTCGGGGATCTATGAAATCAAACTGATTAACTAAAAATCAAACAAGGAATAATGGTAATTTTAAAGGTTAGTTACTTTCAAAATAATTTTTGGAAGACCGATCAGAACCTTGGGTAATATGGTTGTCAGATTTCACATCCCAAACTTTCTGCCCCCATCCCAAATAAACAGAACTTTTTGAATTAATGAGACACTTTAGTTTTTTATTTCTTCATGCACGCCCAATTTGTTGATCATTCCCTGGTACACAATTTCTTGTGTGACTTCTGGTGTTCTACAGTTTCCGTTGTTTCCACAGATAATAATATTGTTGTCACTAGTCATAGATTTTAGAGTGACTTCTTTCTATATACGTACATATATAATATATATATACCTCTATATTCTCTTCCAGCTAGTATGTCAAAGGATGGAGACTCCGCATTGAGCTCTTGGAGAGACCTTGTCACAAATCCAGCAAGATGGTGGGATCACCGTGAAAATAAGATCAATGGGTTGGTTAGTACCTCGCTCCTGATATTTGTTATACGCTGCATGAATTTTGTAGAAGAAATTTACTCTTCTCTTGTTTGCTTTCTAGGTGAAACCAAAATATAACAAATATCAGGAGCAAGGTACTAACAAACCGTGAAAATAAGATCAATGGGGTGGTTAGTACCTCGCTCCTGATATTTGTTATATGCCGCATGGATTTTGTAGAAGAAATTTACTCTTCTCTTGTTTGCTTTCTAGGTGAAACCAAAACATCCAGATTTTAAACATAAGGATAGTGGTCTCGCACTCTGGATTAACATGGCTCCAAAATGGGTCCAGACAGATCTTAAAGGATTAAAGTTTGATGTTCAACCTCATGGAATGAAACAAGTAAAAGAGGGTAGAGGTGAGTATTAAGTATGATTAAATTCTCCTTCCATTAGTAGGTTGGCATTACTTGTAACATGAGTTAGTGTTTTAACTTGGAAGTCTGTGCACCCAAATGACCACTTGTTTTGCTCATTGTTGCCGATTGTCTCAGAACTGTTGTAGAATATTGTTAAAATATTCTGATATTGTATCAGAATCTTGGTGTGAAGATTGTCTAGAATAGATCTAACGCATATTAGTGTTGCAATAGTCACATAAATTCACGCCGTTGGCAAATTCTTGTTAGAACTCCATGTTACACTTGACAAGTTGACACTGAATTTTCTCAACCTGTTTGTTGTATGTACTGATAGCAACATGTACGGCTGGTCTTTCTGCATTCTTGGATTTGAGTGAGATTTCCTCAGCTCTTTATGTACTAACAAAATAGTATGAGATTTCCTCAGCTCTTTATGTACTAACAAGATAGTATAACAGTAGGCTTTATCTAATGTGGCACAAACAAACTGCATCAAAATTCAATTGTATTTTTAATGTACTTTTATAGATGAGGCAGACGTAAACAAACTGAAGCACATTGAATTTTGGCTGATGCGAAGATATGTTTTGACTTGTTGTTTTGCTTGCGGGTCTTGGATCCTGTTTAATATTCTCTTGTAGCCCGATATATAAGGGTTTTTAGGGTTCAGAGTGGGATAGAGTGATTTTCTAAAAATCGCAAGAAAGAGAGTGAAAGCGAGAGGTAAGGTTTGGGGGTTGAAATTTGAAACTTGTAATCTCATGATTTTCGCGTAGTGAAATCTTTCGCTGGATCTTCGCCATGGACGTAAGCATTACTTCCCGTGTAAGAAGGGAAAGGAAAAATCTTTTGAAGGCAATAGTGGCTGTTGCAAAGGGTAATGATTCAGATGGTGGTAGCATTCTCATGATTTCTGTCGGCGGCTAGCGATGAGTGGATTCTTGATTCGGGTTTCTCGTATCACATTTGTCCGAACAGGGATTGGTTTACCTCTTATTTTCCATTGATGGAGGGGAAGTCTTGATAGGGAATAATGTGTCGTGCAAGGTTGTAGGTATCGGTACATTTCAAATCAAGATGTATGGTGGCATAGTGAGGACAATGATTGATGTCACGCATGTACCATAATCGAAAAAGATTTTGATTTCCTTGGGTACGCTGGATTCCATCGGGTGCAGTTACAAGTCTGGATATGAAGTCATTTGGGTTTAAAAGGTGCTCTTGTGGTAATAATTGGATTGAAGCAGGATGGTTTATATGCGTTGCAGGGTAGCACAGTCATAGGTTCAGTTGCAGTATTGTTCTCAGATTTGAATTCTGATACTACTAGATTGTGGCATATATGGCTTGGCATATGAGTGAGGTGATGGATGTTCTGAGTAATCAGGGTTTGCTTAGTGGTCAAAAAACTAGGAAGCTGGATTTCTGCGAGGATTGTGTTTTCGGGAAACAGTGCAGAATGAAGCTCAGCATGGGAATTCACAGGCCCAAGGGTACAATGGATTATATCCATTCTGATTTTTGGTGTCCGTCTCGGGTTGCTTCACATGGTGGTGTTAGATTTATGATGACGCTGATTGATGGTTGTATCAGGAAGTTTGGGTTGATATTTTGAAGCACAAGAATGAGGATTTTGTCACATTCAAGCAGTGGAAGACCTTGATTAAGAAGCAGACTGGAAAACAAATCAAGCGTTTTGAGGACAGACAACGACTTAGAATTTAGTGAGTTTTGCAACACTCATGGGCAGTGTTATTAAAGGCCCAAGGCGCTAGAGCTCCTTTGGAGCCTAGGCGCGAGGCACACGGCGAGGCGCGCGCCTGAGTGAAGTGAGGTGCACAATTGAAAATTGAAATTACCATAATAACATTCATATCTCATAAGTCATATCAATATTCTAAAAATTAATATCAAATATAAAAAAGTAAATCTATCAACTATACAAGCTTCCAACAACCATAAAACAAAGCACAAATTTGTTTTCTTGAAAGGCAAAGCAAAATGTGTTTTTTTGAATGGCAAAACAAATCACAAAAAGAAATAAATATGTTAACAAAAAAAAAAAAAAAAAAGTGTTAACAAGAAAAAAGAAGAAGCAAAAAACAGAGCCAAAAAAAAAAAAAAAAGACATGAGAGAGAAGAGAACTAGACGAAGAGAGAAATGTAAACAAAGATAAGAAGAGAGGAGAGATCTAGTGGAGAAGAGAGAAAAAGAAAGAAAGAACTGATGTGTCTTCGTCGTTCATCTCTGCAACTAAGGCTTCGTCTTCGTCTCACAATCTCACTCTATTGCTGTTCGATTAACACTTTGACTCTTGGGCTTTCTTATTTTTTTATTCTTTTGAACAAAAGTTCCTTTTATCGTATGCATGGCCTTTTTTTTTTTTTTTGTTTGTTAAGTTGCCAAAAGTATCCTTTTTGGCTTAAGAAATAGAACACTCGTATTTTTTTAAACAAATATCAACGAGGCGTGCCTCACAAACAGGACGAGGCGCAACCGAGACGCGCGCCTAGTAAACATCAGTGAGCCTGAGATAACAACAGGCACTAAACCTGTGCCTCAAGCCTAGACGTGAGCCTAGGCGAGCCTTTAACAACAATGCTCGTGGGATTGTGAGACACCTCATAGTGAGGAAAACTTCACAGCAGAATGGAGTTGCAGAACAATGAACAAAACATTGTTGGAGAGAGCACGATGTATGTTGTCCATTGCTAGGTTAGGCAAAGTGTTTTGGGCTGAAGTTGTTTCTATAACCTATTTCCTAGTGAATCGGTCTCCATTGACTGTTATTGACTGAAAGACTCCAGAGGAGGTATGATTTAGTTCTCATGCTAGAACCGAGGCCAAAGAAATGCATATTTCTTGGTTATGAGCCCTGGGGTCAAGGGATACAGATTGTGGTGCCCAAATGCTTCGGGAAAGAAGATTCTTGTTAGTAGTGACGTGACCTTTCATGAGTGTGCGATGCTTACTCCGCAGAAGGAAGTAGTTGATTCAGCGAGAGCTCAGGGTGTCAGTGAGTAGGTGAACTATGTAGAGGTTCAATTAGAGGATGTTCCTGAACGGTTGAATGATGAGCATGTGCAGTTTCGGACTGATGAAGATGCATAACTGCAGCAGAATAGTTTAGCTAGAGACAATTCAAGGAGGGAGATTAAGCCACCTCAAAAGTATGAGATTTCACATGCTGATTCGGTTGCTTATGCATTTAGTTTGGCACAGAGTATTGATGAGTAGGTACCGCATACTTATCACGAGGCCTTCACGGGTGGAGAATTAGCACAGTGGTCTTTTGTCGTGAGTGAGGAGATTGAGTCTCTTCATTAGAACCAAACTTGGGAGCTAGTTGAAAAGCTTAAGGGCTAGAAGATTGTAGGCTGTAAATGGGTCTTTAAAAATCTGGTGTCTGCTCTATTTATTTTATGTTCTATGTGGTTGTGTGCATATATTGATCTATGAAATCAAACTACTATTACTACACCACCCAAGCCTTTTTCCCAATTACTTGGGGATCTGTGAAGTCTAACTGATTAACTAAAAATCAAACAAGGAATAATGGTAATTTTAATGGCTAGTTACTTTCAAAATATTTTTTGGAAGACTGATCAGAGCCTTGGGTAATATGGTTGTCAGATTTCACATCCCAAACTTTCTGCCACCATTAGCCTTCAAATGCAGACCATGCTTTGCACACCTGAGTGGAGCTGCATAGAGGCCTCAAAGAAAGTATCTGCAATTACATGATTAGCTCAATATATGCGGCATCAAAGTGGCATGTTCCTATCGCATCCCGCCGAGGTGGAACGTGGCGTTTTGCACAGTGCGTGAATGTTGTGGTTGGGCTGGTATTCTCTAGGCTGTACTAGGCTAGTTACTTTCTTGGTGTTCTATATATGCACCTGAATTTAGTTGTGCTAAGCAATTATTTGATGTCTAAGGTTAAAAATGATAAACAAGTAAACAGAACATTTTGAATTAATAAGATACTCGTGTTTTTATTTCTTCATGCCGACCCAATTTGGTGATCATTTCCTTGAACACAATTTCTTGTGTGACTTCTGGTAGTCTACAGTTTCTGTTGTTACCACTGATTATTATATTGTTGACACTAGTCAGAGATTTTAGAGTGACTTCTTTCTATATGCGTACATATATATATATATATGTCTGTATATTCTCTTCCAGCTAGTATGTCAGAAAAAGGAGACCCTGCATTGAGCTCTTGGAGTGAGCTCCTCAAAAATCCAGAAAGATGGTGGGATCACCGTCAAAATAAGCTCAATGGGTTGGTGAGTACCTCGCTCCTGATATTTGTTATATGCCGCATGGATTTTGTAGATGAAATTTACTCTTCCCTTGTTTGCTTTCTAGGTGAAACCAAACTATCCAGATTTTAAACACAAGGATAGTGGTCTCGCACTCTGGATTGACAGGGCTCCAAAATGGTTCCTTACAAAACTTGAAGGATTGGAGTTTGATGTTCAACCTCCTGGAATGAAACAAGTAAAAGGGAGTAGAGGTGAGTATTAAGTATGATGAAATTCTCATTCCATTAGTAGGTTGACATTACTTGTAACATGAATTACTGTTTTAACTTGGAAGTCAGTGCACCCAAATGACCACCTGTTGAGCACATTGTTACCGATTGTCTCAGAACTGTCGTAGAATATTGTCGAAACATTCTGATATTGTATCAGAAACTTGGCGTGAAGATTGCGTAGAATAGATCTACCACATATTAGTGTTACAATAGTCACATAAATTCTTGCCTTTGGCAAATTTTTGTTAGAACCCCATGTTACTGTTGAGAAGTTGACACTAAATTTTCTCAACCTGTTTGTTGTATGTACTAATAGCAACATGTACGGCTGGGCTTTCTGCATTCTTCAATTTGAATGAGATTTCCTCAGCTCTTTATGTATTATAATAATATGACAGTAGGCTTTATCTAATGTGGAACAAATGAAATGCGTCGAAGTTCAATTGTATTTTTGATGTACTTTGTATAGATGTGGCAGAAGTAAACGAGATGAAGCACATTGAATTTTTGCTGATGTGAAGATATTTTAGATCTTTAGCCCTTGTCCAAATCAGAGTTCTCATGGGAGTTGCAGTATACTTCACGTAAATAAAGCATGAAGTCGCTGATTTTGCAACCTTAACAGTTTTTTCCCTCTCAGAGAGAAACTTATGAGTTTATGTTGGATGGAAAATAAACTTAAGACTTCTTTATTTCTGAATTCCTGGTTTAACCAGCATATATTTGAAGGTTCTAGTTTACAATGGGTGAATAATATAGTAAAGTGAAAGCAAGAGAAAAAGGGAGATGAATCTTGAAAACTGCGGGTATTGCTGACAAGTAGTTATATAGTGGGTTATGATTGTGGGCACCTTGTAAATTTAGGGTTCAAAAAGGTGAAGAAAATAATTGTTGTTACAGGTCTTTATAAATGGCCATTACCCGGCATGGGATGTTTGGGTGGGAATAAATGAGATAGACCTGACCTTTGCATTTTCTTTACACAAAAGTGATTGCTCTCAAACTCGAAGCAGTGTCCTCAGGCTTATTAGTCTGGCTTGTACCATTGCACCAAATGGTAAAGAGCAAAAGCACAGCAAAATCACCTATATAGGAATATAATTTTTTTTTGGGGAGGATAAGTACGATTGTGTTAGAAAGCGTTCAAATAGGGAACGTGCCCCGCAAAAACAAAAGAAGAGCTGATTAGGGCCCCTAATCTCTCAGTATGTCTTAAAAATCAACCATATTTACTACCAAGGATTTGCAATTCAACCTAGCAACCCAACAAAAAAGAGAACTAAGAAAAGAAAAGTTCTGCTGCCCAATTGGAAGCTCCTCACCGTCAAAGGATCTCCTCTTGTGTTTTCGTGGGCTGGGGAGTTCACTATACAACCTCTCCAAGCCTCAATCAAACCTATCGAAGTCTGAGGCATATCGCGATGGACCCCGAACAAAGCCAAAAGCAAACCCCAAATGGCCCTAACAACCTGACAATGCAGCAGAAGATAATCAACCGTCTCTTCACCCCTCTTGCACATACTGCACCAGTTGACACTAATTTGTCTCCTCCTCCAATTGTCAAGGGTCAAAATTTTCCCCATAAGAGCGGTCATCCAACAAAAGAAAGCCACCTTTAGGGGGGCCTTGGTGTGCCGCACTGCCTTCCTGGGGAAAGCTGCAGCCGGATCATCTAAAAGCTCTCTATAGAAGGAGCAAACATTGAACCTCCCTTGAGAAGATAGAATCCATACCAAGGAATCAGCCTCACCCACAACAACCTCCTGGCGGTACAACAGAGTCAAAAGCTTGAAAACATCTCCCATCTCCCATCTCCCATCTCCCAATCCAACAAATGCCTCACAAAGCACACATCCCAAGTTGTCTTCTCACTATCAAGGTGATAACGATTGACAACCAGAGCATGCCTATCCGTAGCAATCCTGACGAGCCTGGAAAACACTGTCCTCCCAAATCCCAATAACGGATAAATGTGCCCCCTAAACCCTGAATCTGATTTGTTTAGAAAATTCATCCCACACCTTCCTGATGAATTTCAAACACCCACCCCAGCTGGGATCCTCACCTTGAGAATCATTGAGTCTCCAAAGCCACTTCCCGAAAGAGCCTTATTAAAAGGCTCCAATCTCCGGATCCCCAGACCACCTAACTGAATCGGCATGTAGACATGCTCCCAATGGACAAAGATGAACTCCTTCCCCAAACCACCCCAAAGAAGGTTCTACTGGAGCCTCTCTATCCTCATTGCCATAGAGGAAGGAATCTGAAAAAAGAAAGAAAATAGGAAGTCTCAATAACAAACTCTTCAAAAGGGTAATCTTCCCACCCTTCAAAAGATGTTGCTTCTTCCACTCCGGCAACTTTCTTTCTACTCTTAACAATTGGGTCCCAACCACCTACAATCCTCGACAATGTTCCTAGGGGCAGCCCCAAGTAAGAAATGGGGATGTGTCCAACACCGCATCCCAGAATATCTGCCAAAAGGGAGATATCCACAACCTCTCACACTGGAACCAACACGCTTTTCCCGATATTGAATTTCGGGCTTGAGACAACCTGAAAGCATACCAGGACACAATGCAAATACCTCATCCGAGACTCATCTGCATCACAAACATTAAGGTATCGTCGGCAAACAATAAGTGGGATATCTCCTACTGATTGGATGGGTCTCTACCCACGCTGAAGCCTCTAATAAATTTCAAATCCACTGCCCTCCTCATTAACCTTTTGAGAGCCTCCATCACAATGATGAACAAAAAAGGGGAAAGTGGGTCTCCCTGTCTCGAACAACACAAATTCCTAAAGAAACCAGTCGGAGAATCGTTCACTAGAACTGAGAAAATACAAAACTCAATCCATTTCCTCCACATCTCCTCAAACCCCATCCTCTCCAACATGTAAAGCAAAAGCCTTAATCTGGCATCCACACACTCGCTGGCAATAAGCGAATCTAGAATCTGTCGACCCCCGACAAAGGCATCCTGGGATTCTGAGATAATCTTATCCATAACACTCCTCAGCCTCAAGGCTAGAACCTTAGCTATTAGTTTGTTAAAACAGCCCACGAAACTGATAAGTCTAAAGTCCCTAACATCTGACAACACTTCCCCCTTCTTGGGGATAAGGGCAATAATGAAGCATTCAAACTTATTTCAAAACGGCCCTGAGAATGAAAGAATGAAAAGTGTCCATCACCCCTTTCCTAACCACCTCCCAATGATGAAGAAGGAAGCACATAGAAAATCCATCCGGTCCAGGAGCTTTGTCACCATTGCAGTTTTTCAGAGTTTTCTCAAAGGCAGTGCATAGAAAATCCATACGGTCTGTTGTGAGATTTAGGGCGTGTATTTATGCATCTCCAGGCTAAGATTTCCATTTTAATTCTCTCTTGGCCCTCCAAGTTCTTTCATTTTAATATTGAGGAGGTTTTTGGATTTCTTTGGGGTGTTTCCACACTTAAGGAAGGAACTTTTGGGGATCTGAAGCAAATGTGGAAATCAGAATCCAAACCATGAAATCCTGAAATGAGTTGTCATGGGCTCTTGAAGGCTTAAAGTCCAAATGTCTACTTATCAAAAAAAAAAAACAAAAAAAGTCCAAATGTCTACTTATCAAAAAAAAAAAAGTCCAAATGTCACCTTAAGGTGTCCAATGGCACTCATGAGAAACCCCTTTGCTCAACAATGGACTGTTGGGTTCTTGTTGTCTTCAATTTTAAATTTTTGGATTTTTGTTTTTTTTATTTACCCAAAAATAACTTTGTCCCTCATCTAAAGTCTGATCCATTATTAGAAAGTTTAGGACTTTTGCTTTCATTTAAAATTGGTTGGGCTAAAAACATGTAGTGGTTTATGAGAGATTTTACAAAATACCATGTGTAGGTCAATTTTTGGAATTAATGATGGGAAATGTTCATTTTTCTTTGAAGGTTTGTCTTATGATACATTGTTGGAGAACTCTTTCATGTACTTCTTAATTATCAGATTTTGACTAATCAAAATCTATCAAAATCGGAGTCAAATTTTGCCTCACATGCATCCTAATAGTTTTTCCTAAGTTGGTCCATTGGTTGAATAGTAAAAAATATATATAGGGGATGTCATTGCTAGGTTAAATTAAGTCCAACCTACTTCTTGGAAACCTGATAAAAGTCTAAAGGACTTTCAACTGTTATGTAGATTTAAACTGAGTTGTATTTCTTAGAATCATTCCCGGAGATAGGCTTAAGGCTTAACTTCGTGAATGAGTGCCTATACTATCAACTATAGTTTCAAAATTTCAATCTTTAAAGCCCATCTCAACATTTTAAGGACGCCCATTTGATGTTGTCTGCTCAACTGAGCACATACAGAATATTCATTGGTTAATCCTATAACTCAAGGCCTCTAGATATGAAGTCTTAATGATATCATTTATAATATGATAATCATTGACACTACAAAGCTTTTATGTGCAAAATTATCTCTACTATGTGGAATGCAAAGTCACTCTCTTACTTTTGGAGGTAGTGATGAGACTGCTAATATAATTATTTCCTACAGGATCCATGCTAATTTTTTTCGGGCTAAGCATGCCACTTGTTTCACGATTAAAAAAGGATAAAATATATTTTTTTTCATAATTGGTGTTTGTATAAAAAAGGAAAAAGAATAATTACAGGCACACAGAGGGCATACCCTCTGAAAAGAATTGAAAGATCAATTCTTAAAATGAAAATTTCAAATCAAAGCAAATCAACAAAATTACTATCTAGAGAAATCTTGAATAGCAACATTGTAGATATCAAGAACTTCAAATAAGATTTGTCTAGCAGCATCTTGAGGAAGTCTAAATATATGACCATGCAACCTGCCATTTCTTTCTTGCCAAATGCTCCACAATGCAGCCACAAAAATTGAATAATTCATCTTATTGGTCTGTTGAGAGAACCAGTATAGCAAGTCTTCTAATGTGGAAAATAAAGAAATATCAAAATT